AACAAAACAGACTCTTAAACTGTAGACCTTCCTAACCAAAAATTTAAGTTGATGGTTGAAATTTAAGATTGATCTATGTTTACTATCAAGCAATGTGAGCTAAGTAGACATTTAGCCAAGAGTCAATCCATATATATCTTAATTACGGAGTACTTAAATATATTGGCTAAATGCCTAAATATGTTGAATTCCACATAATATATCCATATATGTGTTATGTTTTCATTGATTATATATACTTCGTTTAATAATAGGTATCAGAATTATTTTGTGAATAAAAGGATACCATGTAGTTAAATACTTATCACAATCAATTTAATTTTTTTTAATCAATTATAATTTGCCATGTCTACTATATTTGCCACATAAACTATACGAGTAATATGACACTCTTTGGACAATTTTGTTTGGATTGAGGTTCATTATAGATTATTAGGAAAGCAACCTCAAACATTATTATTCAAGTGAATATAAAATAATTCAGGTTTAGCGTCAGAAAATCAATGAAAGGCGAAATTATGACAAGCTATGCATTAAACGATAATTAAATATGCATGTATTTACGCTGTCAAACAGTCGGACTAGGAAAATAGATCATAGATGGTAATTGGCACAAAAATAAATTTACTACATATATATACAATACATATTGCAAAGAGTAGCCAGTTTAGTAGAAAATTAATACGAAATATAGATAAGTTAAGTTAATGCCATGCATAATGTTCTGATAACCTTATTTTCACTTATGTCACAAAATATATATATATATATATATATATATATAAAAATAAAAATAAAATAAATAAAAAAAATAAAATAAAATAAATATAATTAAATAAATATAAATAAAAAAAAACTTATATACAGGATAATAAATTGAAGAAAAATATGTAAGTTCAAATAAGAGTTAATAATTAAGAAATACTCAAGTTCAATTTACAATTAGAATATGATTAAACAAGGTCTAATATATAATTGATGATTTTAAATAAGTGAAAATCAGATAAATAGAGTGCAACTCAAGCAACTTAAGTATGTAATCTCAACAATAATTATAGTTTTTGACAATATAAATACATGATTAATGAGCAAGTTGAAAGAAGATTATTATTAAGGAGTACATATTTTATACGTAAATTATAATACATGCATTATTGTTGGAGGTGAAATCAATGATATAGCAGTTTTCAACTCCTAACTAATATAAGATCCAGGTGGAAACAATTAATTAGCGATAATTAAATATTAATTAGTCTGTGGTAATCAATAATAGACCTTAGTACAAATTGTTTACTAGTACTACGAAGTAATTAAATTGACGGTGATATAATGACATGTGACTAATGTACTTGTTTAAGAAATCTTAGACATAAAATTCCAAAAAATTATGTATAATGCAGATGAAAGTAGCAATCACAGATCAGATCATCAATACAAGGTGGGGCCCTCGCATATTTGTACATTTATATACAAAAAGAATACCATTTGATGAATGAATTATAGGATTATTAGGTAATGGGAGTATGTACATGCTCCGTAGTTTATTAGATATGAATAATACTATTTTGTGATATGATCATTAAGTAGATGAAATGTGACAGCAATATTAGCTTAGGAAGATTAATTAATGAATTATATGAGGTAGGGGAGGAGAGGGGGGTTTTCGGTGAAATTTTTTATATACACTCGGGTGCAAGGTGTACATAAAGGTATTTTCTACTCATTTAATAACCTTCATTGGGTGCATCTACCTATATGTGCAATTGGGTGTACAGAAAATGTTCTAGGTATTCGGCGGTAAGGGAGGGACAGGGTTTATTTTTGATTGGGGGTCAGGGATCAATATGAGAGAGGGGTTGGTTTTTGGTGGTGAAGAGGAGTTGGTCTGTGGTGGAAGCAGAGGTAGTAAGTCGAATTTATATAATTTTTAACCAATTAATTAGGTGTTGACATGTGGTAGGAAGACTGGTTAGAATAAAATCGAAAACTTATTATTTGAAGCACGACATTTATAGTACTAAAATTACAAGAGGATCTTATGACACAAGAAAATGTAATTTTAGTGGTTTGTACAACGAAATATTTGTACTGATGTAACCTTCAAAAACAAATTAAGAAATTGTAGGAAAAGGACCCCTTCAATCATTTTGGTGGAATTGATTTTTACCTATTGATATTGGTGGGTTATGGGTCTACTATATTTGCTAACAAAAGGTCTATAATTGCTAAGTTTTCTTCACTTTGTTGAAAAATTGTAAACTCTCTTGTTGCATAAATCGATCGAATGATGGCCAATCTTTCTTTTTTAGCCGGTGTATTTCTCATGATTTCCAGCATAATGATTATTAATTTACACTCCTTCCATTTCTGAAAGTTCGACTCACTTTACATTTACACGGTATCTAATGAGCATCTTTGACCACTAATAACTTCGGATATATATAAGTAAAATTTTTAAAAAGTTGATATTTGAAAAATATAGCATTAGGGGAATCTAATAAGATCAAACTTGTTAATTTATTTTGATTGTATAAATCATAAAATGTGGTCAAAGTTATTTTATTTTGACCACATGAATAGTAAGTGAGTCGAACTTTCAGAAATAGAGGTAGTATATTATGATGATATCTAGTCCAAATCTGGCACAAATTTTTCAATTGTGTACATATGACAATGGTTAATTATCTATATATATATCTAATAAACGAATTAAATCTATCAATATTTCACTTGATTGAATATTTTTTTTTTTAATAGATATTCACATGATCTAGTAAATGTAAAGGCTTTTCATGTTACATGAAGATAGTACGTATATGTTTCAAACAAAAACTAAATATTTCATTAGCTAGAAGCAAAGCTACTATTGAATCCAGTTAAGAGTCAATTTGAGCAACCATATATATATTGTTAAATTATTGTTCTAGTATTCTAATTGTTAGAAGAAAAAAAAAATCCATGCATATATTGTAAAAGAATTATTCAAATTACCCTTATTGTAGGATTGATCAACGACATATATAATACAGAACTAACTGTTCTTGGAGAACGAAGCTAAGGACTTTAAGTGTACACACCATGTGATATGGCAAGTAGGCAACGTTACATGTTTTGAGTTTATGACTAATAATGAGTGTAAGTGTGTAAACCCACCTTATAAAGCGTTCACCCGGCCATGAAATTTCTAATGTGAATTGAACTATGAAAGCAAGCCTTTGAGTTTGTCCCACCATCGTTTCTCGTAATCACACCTAGGGAAAATCGGGAAATGAGATTATGGTATCAAATTAAATAAAATTTGACCAAAATATTTGCAATGGGACAAACACTTAGAGACGGAAGGAGTAACACCTACTCCATATGAAGGTATACCAAAATTTACCTTGTTGCTAGAATGAATTCTAGGTAAGTGACATGAATAACCATGGTGCTGTTTGCAAACAGCACGTCGTTTTGTTACTTTGGCATGCCCATTACATTGCACGGCCCTTCCAATTCCCATGCATGCTGCATGCTTCTTTTGGTTTCTTCTTTTCTTTCCATGAATGTTATGTTAACCCACTAAAAATAGAGTATGAAACTGTACTTAATTATCTTGACTTAGATATGCTACCATGCATAAATTAATGTCTAATTCTAGTGATATAAATATATAAAAAATATAGAAAAAAATGATGAAAAATATTACCCCCTCTTTTTTATGATATATTGACACATGTTGACTTTTTGCACTGTTTTTATGTAAATATTGACTGTAATTATTTTTTACTAAAGAGTTTCATTTTATCAAATTTTTTAAACTTTTGCAATTATTTATAATTAGGGCCAAACGGTGTATTGCCAAGTGTTCCAAATTTAACTTTATCAATTATTATAGGATAACTATAGTATTTTTATTGTTAAATTAAACCTCTAATTTGCTTCAGAATTTCTTAAGTTAAAACGTCAAAATAGATAATATTATGGAAAAAAAATACTCATAAAAATGTATAACTATAGACAATGGCCAAAAGCCATTGTATTGTATTTGACTACTCGAAAATTTTGTGGACGTTTATTGTATAATGGTTATGTGATGATGAATTTGATTAATTTGTCCCTTGAAATTTCCAAACTAAACAAAGTGAGAAATGGACCAATAGAAGCTCAAAAAGATGTAATTATTTACCCCTTTGAAAAGTTGGGATTTGGGAAGAACATTTCATATTAATCACAATTGAAAATACTATCTCTAATTCCTGGCTATCAACGACTAATATATTTATACATAACACACACACACAAAAAAAAAAAAAAAAAAAAAAAAAAAAGACAAATGTTCCGCATAGTTTTATTAAAATATAAAGCTTTAGTCCAAGTGATTGATTGTTATAATTTAAAATTATTTTAATTTCAACGTAATTTTATAATACATCAATCATCTATAAAACGAGTATTATGTTTATAAGATACGGTGACCTACTGACGTATATAAATTGTTGTTTGATATTCAAGCAACCACATATTTGTTTGGTCACTCTTTTTGTAGTTAGCAAGTTCGTAATACCTAATACTCCTATCCTCATATCACATTTTTATTAGGTATTTAAATGCATCGTCAACATCATCTATGATTATGAACTCTAATCCATATGTATTATACAAACAATATCTCTAATATACTCCGTATAAGCAACTATCAAAATTCAAAATTTAATGTAATATGATGTCATAATTGTTTTTAAAGGTTTACACACATATCATATATACAAAGTATATATTTAGAAATTCACTTTATCATTAGAGATTCAAGTGTTACGAATTAGGGATGTCAAATAGCTTTATTGGTTCAAGACTTCAAGTACGAACTTACAAAGTATGTAGCTTCTTACAACTTTTACATGTTATTAACTTTTTATCGTATCCATACTCAAGTCCAGCTCACCAACAACGCATTCACCTAAGGATTTACGCACAATAGGTTACAAGTTCGCCCCCCTCCTACATTTGCTATCTCCTTGTGACACAATTGAAATTTGCATTGCAAATGTCTAGTTCCATAAAACAGTGTTCAACAAACTACACTGCTTAAATATTGACAACAAATCATCAGCCTTTAATCAGGCAAACAAAAGCTCTACAACATGCGTACTTAATCCGAACACCCAGTATCATGGTAGCAAACATTCACACAATCCAACTTCTATACAATGAAGTCATAGAACATCCACAAACTTCACAAAATTAGCTCAGTTTAGGAACGGCAACTAAAAAATTTTACACATTTGAGCCAGCTTGGAGCCGATGAGACTCCAAGAACAGTCGTATGGTCTTATAGATGAGAGATGGTTCAGCCATAGCTCCATTTCCGTAGTCTCCACAAGCCAGCCTCTTTGTAACAGGAGGAATCAAAGTAATGCCGAGCTCATCAATTGACAGAAGATGCTTCTCTGTAAATGGGTTGTTCCACATCATGGTGTTCATAGCTGGAGCTACAAATAAAGGCTTGCTGTAGTCCCAGGCCCGTACAACGCATGTCAGCAGATTGTCACATAATCCTCCAGCAATCTGTGAAACAATAAATCAGCTACATATTTAGACATCGCTGACATATATGTACTGTACAGAATGTAACTAGAAAGAATAATGATGCTGAGTGTGAGATGCAGATAAGAACCAATATCCACCAATCTCTTTAAAGAATGATACATTGATCTGGCGCTACTAAAGGAACAGATTGGGTGCTTGAAAACTGCAAGGTTCATACACATTCAACTTTTTACCCATTTAAAGTTTAAAACCTAATTCCCTCCTATGATACACAAATTCAGGTACCATGTTAGACAAGGGTACAAGTCCAAGTGTCACACTCGACCACCTATTTCATGAAATATTTCATGATTTAGGGGTAGTTTAAAGTGTGAATAGTCCATACCCAGGTCAAAGATCCGACGTGGATACTAGTAATAGAATGAAGATTTTAAGTAACAAGATTTCCATCAGCCCAAATACATTTTAATTGTTAAACATCTTTTCTAGTTTTCCAATCTAGTTAAGGGACAAGAAAGTTTGATCAAAATGTGGTAGTAAACCTAATTCAATGTTAGTTAAGATGCTTTAATCTTTACAGCTGGCATCAATAGGGGAAAAGACTTCTCATTGTGTCATACTATGCATATTTCACCCCTGTGACTAAAGTGTGAAGGAATGCTACCAACTCAGCCATCACTAAATCCCTTTATCAACTTATTACATCACAATATTTTGTATTCACCTAGTATAATGATGCTCACATAAAATACAGAATGAAGGCTATTTCCCAATCCCAAAAAATCATCCTAGTGCCTTAGGTGCATTTCAATGAAACCACAAAAGGCAAATGACCCTTATTTGTATCCTCGTGCCTCATACACTGGTTTGCATAATTCCACCAAAGCTTTGTAGAGCAAGAAGTGATCCCAGGGCTGGTGAATAACGATCTTAGACTTAATCGTTTCTAAATTATCTAGCATTCTAGTTCCAATGTTTTCTGGCTCTTATTTAAGCTAGGCACCTACTACATGTACAATGAAAAACCCCATATCTTAGTGGCTTTTTGTGGCTGGTTTACCCCCATTCCTCCAGTGCCAAGCTAAGAAAAAAAGGGCCCCAGGATGAGGGGGAAAGGTAACTTAATGGTAACTGAACCGCAAACCTAGTCTAAAACGAGTAATTATAAACAGTGGCAAAGCTTTACTATAAGATATGTCATCACATCGCCACGATATAATATTATTGGAAACAAAAGTCAATACAGTTGAGAAGCAAGCATACAGATAGGAAATATGAAAGGGATCACAGCTCTATAAAAAGTTTGGTGTGACTTTTGCAAAAGAAACACTATACTGTGATCCCACATCTAGTTAAATCAAAAAGTTGTTTCAACAAGTCCTCTTCGATTGTCTCTTTCTCTTCACACGGACTGTGTTACAAAGCTTGTTTTTGACAAGATGCTTGATATATCTACTTTTATGGGTACAAAACTTTGAATAATTCTAGCATTATATAACTAATTCACATCATGATTTTTAAATGTGTATATAAGTGACGCTAAAACTTGGGTATTTCTAATGTCACAAAACATCTAAATTTTCATTTGGGCTGGTAACTGGAAAGGCTGCCAGCAGTAAAGCGTCATTGTTATGCTGGCCTCACCTTTCTGATGCAAGACCTGCTTGGGGCTTAGGGGTCTGTTGTAATAAGGATGCAATGGAAAGTATCTTTTCTGTACAAGATTAAGATGAATAATAAATCAAGTGGACTCACATTGAGTATTATATCAAGAATTAGGTGGGTAAAAACTGTGCCTCAAGCAAAATTGTTGGTTTAGCAGTTGCGAGATTTCATGGTATTTTTCTTCACTCTAATACTAGAAAATTTCTATAGGCAGAGTACAAACTACAAAGGCCAAATAGTTAATTAAGACAAAACTGCAGCCCACTTATGCTGCTTCAGGAAGTAACTTCATTATGTGGCTTCAGGCCTTGTTCAGGCTTCCTAACAAGGACAAATAAAATGCATCTGGCCATCAACTGGATCTTTCATGTGTTCTTTCTTTTCGGTTAAAGATGATATAAAGTTAAGTATGCTTTTTGTTGTCTTATAGTGCTTTTACATGTAACATTTGGAAGGGGCACTAGCAACATGGTAAGTCCGCCTAGGATTGTCTTTTAAATGTACTGTAACTTCAACTACAACAGCCCCTAGGCCAAACCTTAAAAGAAATACTCCTATCAAAATTTTACACACCAACACAGTCAGGCATCATCACTTTACTCCAATAGAGTGGAAGACTAAAGATGAATCACAGTTTTCAGCAATCAGGAGGGTTTAGCTGGAGCTAAGTAAAGAATTTAATGAATTATACAAATTTATGAAGTTATGGAATAGTTTGTACCTTTCCAATTTTCTTAAAATATATATATAAAAAAAAAAAAAAAAAAATAACTTAAAAAAAAAAAAAAAGGGCAGTCTAAAAAAGATTGCATTTGATTAAAATAAATAAATAATATAAATAAAAATCTATATACATGGAATTAAAAATTCAGCTACTGAAAGACTTGAAATTCAAGTGTACTGTAATAGATAATTAACATGTTTCCATGACAGCCAGTACAAAGAAGATTGAATGTATGAGTTTCATTATGAACTAAGAGAATCATACACATTATTTAAAACATGATTTAGCACAAGAGTCCAATTTTGCTAGAAAGGCCGCATTGGATCTTAAAGTTATAATCTTCAATCTCTGTCGGATTAAACATAACGCTATACTATAAAGCTGTAAACAAAATTGTAAAATAGATTAATACTAAATTGCATGAAGATGAGGCATTGGATCTAAGGGATGGAGGAGGAAGATTTTTGTCGATGACTACACGGAATAATCACTTTTGGTTCATGTAGCCGACCCCACTTATGGGATTAAGGCTTTTGATTGATTGATTAATACTAAAATTCATTCCTACTTGCTATCTTGACATTCCCCAACTCAAGTTTCCAAATTGATTAATGCACGAATTATCTACGCTGCCTTCCATAAAACAGAATGACTTCATATATCCATATATTTTAATCAACTACACAAGGTTAAGTTTGAGACATTGGCAAATCATCATATACAGTCTTTCTTAACCTGCATGTTTATTCAACCTAAAATACTATGAGAGAGGGAGATAGCAAGACTGATTACGTTCAAATTATACACTGTTATGACTTAGAAAGTCTGAAGTCATGATAGACATAGTGTTAGAATCCAACTCCTTTCGACGTATTAGATGCTCTTTAGATGCTTTCCTAGAGTTTACTTTATGTTTTCTAGGCCTGAGATCCCATTATTGTGTTACTCTCACTGGAGTGTTCACTAGGGATTCTCCTTGTAATCAAATTATAGCTCTTTAGAGGGTGAATGATTGAATGAAATCTTAAGCCTTCTACCAAGTGTTGCCTTGCTTTTATGCTTGTTTGTTGTTAGACCTTTAAAGATATTGTGTCTTACTTGCATAATAGCTCCCCTCCACACCAACTTGATGCACTAAAAACTCGTGGTTCGGACCCGCTTGTGCCCACCTTGAAGTATCGGCCGTCACAAGCCCCGACCACCCGCACTCCGTCGCCCAAATAGACGTGAGTGCTCCTGAGATTTAATTGCCCGCTTGTGTTGCTTTGTGCTCACAAGCCCCTCATCCGCACAAGGCTAGCATTCTTGCCGCCAAAAGGCTAGAGCGCGCCGCACGTTTCGGGGCCCAAAATCCCGGACTGTGACAATGTGACACATAGCCTAACAGCCTTTAAAGAAATATCAATGTAAAGGCAAGATAAAAACTCAAAGTGAATATACACTCTCCAATCCATATTGAGTGCTAACTCAGGTTATGCACATCTTTTTATGTAGTGAGGTTAATGCATTAGTGCTTAATACTAAAGCAGTGCATTGACAATTCCGCAAATGGCATATTTAAATCTTGAATGAGAAAAGTTAGATACGTGACCAGATGATACATAATGGACAGTTAAATTACCTTGCCAAGAGTATTTGCTGAAAGAGGGGCAATAACCATGATGTCAGCCCACCTGCGAAGCTCAATGTGAAGGACATTGTCACCTATTTTACTCCAACTGGACCATTCATCCTCATCTGTGTACAGAATCACATCCTCTGGAATTGTCACGCTGTCAATAAAATGCAATGCAGATTTAGTCGCCACTGCTTTTACATCAGCCCACTCAGAAAAGCAATGACAGAGGTTCCCAAACTTGATCGCAGCAACACTTCCACTTGCAGCTAGAAGGATCCTGGGTCTCCTAGGTGTGTCATTAGCCTGTACAGGTTCTATGTGAGTAGTAACAGGTTCTCCTTGTGCCATGACCAAAGAACAAGCCAACTCTGTTCAAAAATCTGAGATATATCCATAGCCATAAAGTCACAAATTAAAACAGCTTACTTCATTCTGTCCTATTTAATGCAGCTAATGAAACTAACAGATGCAATAAAATGAGAAGATTACAAGCAACCACATTTCAGAATCAGATTACTTGAACCAGCTAATGATTGGAACAACTAAAGCAAATCCTGCGGTACCCTCACCCCCCCCCCTCTCCTCCCCACACGGATTCACAAGCTCAATACTTAAGAGAAACATCAAACTCAGCAAATGCAACTACGGAGAATAAGAGGGCTTCTAAATCAATAACTGTTTTTGACAAAACAAGAACAAATTCTCGTGGGTATTTTTAACTCTTATGTCGATACAATAAAAGTACCTACAAGGATTGTTGGTACTTTTACATCACATCTTGGTACAACATTGTACCAACGGAAGATCAAAAAGTACCAATGAGGACTTGATATTGTCCTACAAGTCAAGAACAGTTTTTTTTTTTTTTTTTTTTTTTTTTTTTTTTTTTTTTTTTTAGAGAGCCACAAGGGCGGAACAGTTATTGGGAGAGACTTTCTCCCGAGCATAGACCAGATGCTGCCAGCATGCCTGGTATTGCCTTATATAGCTTATATTCTGGTTATGTTTGGTAGCATTACAGATAATGAAAATTATAAGTCTTGTAACTCGCAAATTCGAGTTTAAACTTCGAAAGTAATTCACAATCAATTCTGATGTTTGAAGTCCCATTTGCATGCATATATGTCATAATTCCCTTCATTTTCTCTAAAACTCTAATCCAAAAAAGCAACATCAACCTAATTTCATCCACGAAGATGAACAAGAAAACCCCTAATTGCGAAATCACAAAACCCTAATTCATGTTTCCGCACACAAAATCCGTCTTCCGGAAGACAAAACAATCAAGATACAAACTCATAAGCAATATAAAAGAAATACTAGCATAATTCGTGTAACGTAATAAGTAAATGCTAATACTAATTTGAGACAAAAGCAACGAAGATTGAGGAATTTAAAAAGAAAAATGAGAAAAGATTACCTTGGCGTTGTAGGTGGAAGGAGCAACAATGGTATCGAGATGGTAGGCGATGGTGTAGGCCGAAAAGCGGCGGAGATCGGCGTCGGAATGGCAGAGGAGTTAATAACGAGGAGAAAGAGTGTGAAGGGGACTGAGTCAGGGGAGAAGGAAGCGCCAATTTGGTTTAAGAGTTCCAACTATTTCACGCTTTGACTTCCTAATTCCTAGTTTTCCTAATATAATTAAAAATGAATGGTTTAAAAATAAAATAAAATAAAATAAAATTGAATTGCTAAACACCGCCGTAAAAAATACCAGTACTAAGGGTGTACATCGGTCCAAAACCGGACCGGATCTGTTCGGAACGGGACCTGAATTAGTGAATTCTGAGGACCGGAGACCGAACCTGATTCAACAGGTCTGATTCCGGATTAGACCTGAACAATCAGTCCGGTCCGAGTTTTGGACCTAACAAACCTGTTTAGTATTTTTTTCGTTTTTTTAATAAATAACCTGTTGGACCTGCATATGGACCTGCTATGATAAGTTTAGACCTGTTGCATAATTTAATAATTTACATAATCTCAAATTATCAATCACAAAATTACATAAATTCTATAAAGTCCCAATTCTCAAATTATCAATCCAATTAGACCAAACAAATAATCCAAGACCAAACCCATCAAAATTAGCAAACTAAACATCAACAGATTCAACACCAACAAAACCAAAATGAATCAAAATTATACCGTGAGGAGCAAAGTAACGCCATTATAGTCTCCTTCTTGGTCATAAACACATAAATCCTCACACTTAATTCAATATTTCAAATACAATTATACCCAAACATTATTAGATTTATATTTTTAAAAAAATACATACAGGTAGTAGCGGGGCTAGCGGCGGTGGCTGTCTGGCTGATGCAGCGTGCAGGGAGGGTTGTCGCGCTGGTGGGCTGTGGCTGATGGGCGCTTGGCCGGTGTCTGGTGGTCGCCTGAGGGGAGAGATTGAGTGCGTGAGGCGTGACTGGGTCTGGCCGTCTGGGTGTCGTGACTGAATGAGGCTGTGAGGGAGTTCTGGTTTAGAAAGGAAAACTGATTTTTTGTTTTGATTTTTGAATTTTTTTTTTTTCCTTTTAAAACACAATTTTACCGGGTTTTAGGTTCGGACCTGAAACCCCCGGTTTTAGACCAGAACCGGAATCCCTGAATTTCAAGGAGGGACCGAACCTGAATCTACAAGTCCGGATCAGGTACGGTCCCAACAAGTCCAGTTCGGGTCGGTTTTTAGGTCCGGTCTAGTTTATGTACACTCCTAATTATCACCGCCAACATTTGGTGCGAATGGACAACCATGCCCTTACTACTTCGCCACCCCTTATCCTCCCCGGCGACCCACCACCCCATCCGAACGGCGACAACCACCACCACCCTGATCGGTGACCACATCCCCCTCGACCCACCACCTTCCCTCATTGGCGGGAAAGTGGTAGTTTTTTTTATTTCCGGCAACTGCGGTAATCGGAGCCCAAAACCGATTATCGGGGCTCCAGTTTTCGTGCACAATAAACGGTTACCGTGGAGCCCAAAACCGGTTACTGTGCTAAGTGGAGCCCAAAACCGGTTACCGTGGCCGATAACCGGTTTTGGGCTCCGATTGCCGGAAATAAAAAAAAACCACCACCTTCCCTCGCCCGAGGGAAGGTGGTGGGTCGTCATTGAAGGGGATGTGGTGGGTCGTCGGTCAGGGTGGTGGTGGTGATCGTCAGTGTGGTGGTGGTGGTCATCGCCAATCAGGGTGGTGGTGCTAAGGTGTTAGTGATTAGTGGCAAGAGGGAAGATAGTGGTGAAATACTAAGGGCATGGTTGTCCATTCACACTAAATGTTGGCAGTTTTGATCATTTTTTATGGTGGTATTTAACACCCAACGAGGAAGCCCATTTTATCGATAAACAACAATTGTTTATTTAGTGGCATTTCTATGAATAAATGAACAAAAAAATCATAGTCGGTATGGTAATTTTGTATATAAATCAATATTTTTGAGCTTATATTTACTAAAATTTTGTTGATTTATTTGTCAAAATGTCACTAGATACACGTTTTTGTTTTTTTTTTTTTTTTTTTTTTTTTTTTTGTTTATCATGATGATAAACTTGTCCTTTCTCATTAAAAACAATAAGATCGATTACACTCTCTATGTAAATAGTGTTTAGATTCTAAATAATTAAAAATATTTAAGAACCAGCTGTTGTTGTTCACGATGCCTAGTGTAACATCAGCATCGCAAACCTATTCTATAGAATATGATTTTGGCACACATATTGTAAGAGCATAATTTTTTAATGCTCTTGTCACATGGAGGTGTATTGTCAATATCAGTTTTTCTGTTCAATGGGTTGACTATTTATAAAAGTGAAATTGTTTGTAATCAAATAAGACCCCAAATAGCTATATCTTAATATATGAACGATTTTCAGATTCAAAATTAATAAATTAAAAAAAAAAGTTTTAAGAACGAGAGAGATATAATAATTTGTTCATTGAGCCGTTAGTGGATACAATTCTAGTGGGAATGAGCAAGGGTCGAATACTCAAATCTTTATTATTATAGAATCGAATATCCCATAATCAATAACATTAAAAATGATATCTAATCAATTGGTTGTTGGTCAAGTGGTGCTTGGGGTTGCACTGGGTAGGAAGGACCGCGTGTTCGATCCTAGCAACAACAATTTGGAGGGGATTGGAACTTAACCAACCATAATTGAGCCCCGAACCTAGATTAACCCAAAGGGTGAATCGGGTTGAACACCAAAAATTAAATAAAATGATATCTATAAACTGAACCGATAAGCTCAGGTATCCGAATTTAAAATTTACCACATAATCTCGACTTAATTACTAACAATATTACTATTTGTTTAAATTATAAAGTGATTATGAAAAAGAGTGAGTTCATGTATAGGATAAATATATTTAAATAAATATAAAAAAAAAAAGGAAAAAAAGTGCTTATCCAAATAGTTATTGACTACCCATTAATATTACAGCAAAAATTGTTACCAACAATTGATCCAATATTAAATTATCAGATTGAGTACCCAAACTACTCTCCCGTAAAAAAAAAGCCCTGCTATAATCATCGGATTAGGTACGCTTTGTTTCAAATTAGTTACAAATCGAATTTTGGGTTTTCGGGTAAATTTGCTCTTCCTAATTTTTAGACATTAAATTAATTATAGGAGACTTTTTATTACGATAAATTGTACTTACCACATCAAAAAGTCTAGTTGTTTATGTAATCAATTGTTTTAGTTTTTATTTTAAAATACCACCTAAAAAATTAAAAAAACTTTGATTTAACCTCCACTTTATAACTTCTGGCAAGAAACCGTTTGCAACTACTTTTTTCATCTTGGGTTTTTCTATGTTATGACCCCATTTTTTCGCTTTTTCTACGTTGTGACATGACATTTTTGATTTTCTACGCTGTGACCTTGTTTTACGAATAGTCACTAAGCAGTAACCTACGTCAGCATGCATTTACGACGGACGTTAGATATGCAATTAATTCGTCACCTAACCGTTACTGTTCAAACAAAGGACATTCTCTCTCCTTCAAAATTCCCTCCTCTTCTCTGACTTCATTCCCCCTGTTTCATTCATTCACTGATCAAAAAAGAGAAAAACCTAACCCTAAAAAGAGAAATTTTCACAGAATTGTTGCGCAAAATTCGCAGTCTGTCATTCGAGGAGAACAATCTCGGAGGGGCGTAGTAGCGTGGTAAAAAGGTATGTATTTCATTCGCTTATTCTTCGTTTTACACTTAATTCTTCGTTTTAAAATTGTCGAATTATGAATGTACTGGGTTCATTACTTGAAAAAGCTTGGAAATTTCGTTGAGTTGTATTGTTTGCATTTTGGTTTGTGGGAATTTGCGTTGATTGGTTGTGGGTGATGTTGGTTTTGGGTAATTTAGTTTGTGTGTTTTTTCGATTTTGTATAATTGGCGTGATTGTTGTCAGTTATGTTGTACTAATTTGTGTGTGGGGGGGTGTTTAATTGTTCTGGGTATGATGTGTTATTGTAACTAAGTTGGTTGATTATTGATAGATGTATTGGTAACATATTGCAGATGGAGGAAGAGAGGATTTTGAAAATCCATTATCTTGGTAATTGTGTGGATTTAACAATAGATGATGTTGATAAATGTTTGCTAATTGATGTGATTAATGATATGTTTGAGGAATTTGGTAATAGAGGGTTTGAGTTACCTGAGTATCCTGGGATACATTATTGCTATAATCAGAAGGCTGTTAAATTAGTGGATGATGGGACATTGATGAAAATGTTTGGGACTATAGAAACCAAAGAGATAAATTTGTGGGTTGGTTGTTTGACTGAGCCTAATTTTATACTGAATTTGGCTAGGACAGTGAAACCCCAACAAAAAAAGCCAAACACACATGCCTCAACTTCTGTTACAAGCCCAGATTGTGCTACTGGGCCATCTTCTGCTAGTGGTCCATCTGTTGTTGGTGGGCCATCTGGTGGTTACCTAGAACCCCCTCCCTCAAGCCCAAAAGAAGCAAGCCCATCTAACCCATCCTCATCTAAACCAGGTTTTTGTAAACCAGGCACCTTCAAATCAGGCCCACCTAAAAAATTTCAGACCAAAGTTAACCACCTGGAAAGCCACAAAACCTGTACAACTTGAACACCCAGCCATTGGATCAGGGACCCTTACTACAGTAGATCCTCTTAGGAGGAGCCCAAGGTTGACTGGGTCCTTGTCACCCCAAAAGTTACCCCCCCAGTCAGTGGGCCTAGGTTACCTAGGATGTTAGAAGAAATATCCCCTGATTCTCCCCCACATGTCATACTATGTGAAGATGATTGGTTTCATTCAAATACCTCTCAATCCCAAATGCTTTCTCCTCCACACAGAAGAAGCCCAAGACTTTTGCAAGCTAACCCCAACCCTAAGCTTAATGTGGCACCATTCAGACCCCCAAGAAGTAACCAAAATTCATCCCCATCTGAGCCAACCAGGAAAACCAGAACTTGCCAAACCAGAGCTGTTATCTTTCCTCATGGTAAGAAATTGCCCAACAGCACTGCAAAGCTTAAGGGTGTGTATGTTCCAAGCCCACAACCTCAGTCATCCCAAACTACAACAGAAGTTCAGAGTTCTAGGGTACTTAGGAGAAGAGGTGCAAGTGGTGAGGTTAATGATGATGATATCATGCAGTACAATGATGACAGTAGTTCTGAGAGTGATGGTGAGTACATACCTGATGTGGAGCAAGAGGTTGAGAATGACAGTGAAGGTGAGGAAGGTGATCCAGGTTTGGTGGAGGAGAATGTGGATGAGTTACTACATCAGAATTATGTAGATGGAGGTTGGGAACCATTCAGGTCTAGTGTGAAGTATGTTGATAAGGAAGGGGCTCACATGGGAAAGTTGCTTAAAAAGGGTGAGGTGTATGATGATGCAGAGTTTGGGAGAATTTCCTTAAGGCCTTGTCAGTTGTTTGTTGATAAGGATCACTCTAAGGAAGCCCTTAAAGACTATTGCATCCAAGAAGATTTTAGTTTGGTAGTTAGGAAATCTGAAATTGGCAGATACATTGCTGAATGTGCTGATATCATATGTAATTGGAGGATATATGCTACTGTGCTCCAAGATGGGTTTACTTGGGCCATAAAGAGCATAAATCATGGTCATACATGTGACCTGAATATGGTGAATAATCCAATGTGTAATTGCAAGTGGGCAGCCCAGAAGTTGTTGGAAGATATTAGGGCCAGCCCAGATATCAAAGGGAAAGCCCTTAATCAATTACTCTGGGAGAGATTTGGTATTACAATGGCCTGCTCATCTCTGTACAAAATGAGGAGTATTGCTATAGACCTCATTCAGGGAAGGCATGATGAGTCCTATCACAAGCTTAATGTGTACTGCCATTTGCTGAAGGAGAGAAACCCAGGGACAGTGGCATTTTGTACCTGGAAAGCCTTGCAGCAACCTGAACAACCTCTACAATTCAAGTCTATTTTCATCTCCTTTGCAACACAATTTGAAGGCTTGATTGGTGGTTGTAGGGGCTTAGTTGGTGTTGATGGTTGCCATTTGAAGGGCAACTATGGAGGAATCCTTTTATCAGCTGTGTCTTTAGATGGGAATAATGAAATCTTCCCAGTTGCTGTTGCTGTAGTAGACTCAGAGAACAAACAAAGTTGGTCTTGGTTCTTTCATCACCTGAAGAACACTCTCACTGGCACAGGAAGGGTTGATTGGACTATAATGTCAGATAGGCAGAAGGTATGTAATTGTTCTAAGTAAATACACTAAAAACTAACTTAAGTGAGAATTTCTTTTTTTTGTTATTCAGTAACACTAATATGTCAAAATTTGTGCAGGGAATTGACCCTGCTTTGGATCAAGTGTGGCCAAAAGTACCTAGAAGATACTGTGCCAGGCATTTATGCAAAAATTTCAAGGCTGATTACCCAGGCATCCTGATGCACAAACTGTTCTAGGGGGTGACTAATGCTTACTCTGCCTTCAGCTTTAAAAAAGCTCTTCAAAAAATTCAAACTACTGCTGGACTTGGAGCTGTGAAGTGGTTTAAGGAGGTGGGGCCCCTTGAGAGGTGGACAAGATGGAGATTTAACCCACAACTGTGTTCTAATGAAAACACTAACAATTTTGTTGAGAGTTTCAACAACACTATTGGTGTTGATAGGTGTTATCCAATCCTAACACTACTTGAAGGTATATCATTTAGGTTAACACTTATGCTATATGTTGTTAGTGCATGATTAATGACTTCACTTTTTTTTAAACCCTTTACAGGAATTAGAAGAATTGCTATGGTTAGGCATGCTTCAAGACAACAACTTGCTGAGCAATGGATAGAGGAGGGCATCTGTCCTAACATTAGAGAGAGGGTTAGGGCTTTGACAAAGGAGTCTAGGTTATGCCATGCATATCCTTCTGGGAGGGGAGAGTATGAGGTGTCTGATGGTAGAAGCATGCTACCAGTTTCTTTGAACAGCTGGTCATGTGTGTGTGGTAGATGGCAACTAAGTGGCATTCCATGTAGGCATGGAATTAGGGCCATACTTGATGTTGGGAAAGATCCAACTGATTTTGTCAGGGAGTGGTACTATGTGGCTAGGTATAAGTTGGCATACAGTGGAAATATATTTCCCATTCCATCCCCTGAGCAATGGCCTGACATGGATGTCCCCAACTTGGTCCCACCTCCAATGAAAAGAAGTGTGGGCAGACCTTCTAGAAATAGGAGAAGAGAAGAGGGAGAGAAGAGAAAAGGGAAGAGGTCTGCTACTGTTCAGTGCAAGAAATGCAAACAGCATGGCCATAATGCTGCTACTTGCAAGGGTGGTTTGACTAAGAAGGAGAAACAGGCTCAGCAAGGCAAGACACCCAGCACTGCTACCAAAGGCAAGACACCCAGCACTGCTTCTAGAGGCAAGAGAACAACCCAGCAAACTAGTCAGAGTGAGATGGATTTCAACATGATTTAGCAGATGATTGGTGGCAGCTCATCTCAGACAAATGTAGGGTCCTCAAGCCAACCAGTGATGCCATCTACATACACAAACAGCGACCCTCCTGCTCCTGAAGGCCCTTCCTCTCAGCCTAACCCTGCTACATCTTCTAAAAGGCAAAAGATAATGAACAGACTTGCCATGTTATGAGCCCCTGTGTTCCAACAGGCCATGGATGATTTGAGCATCAATGTGGGATTTTTTGGACATATTAACCCTACTGTTAATATTTTGGAGCTTCTTTATGGAACATACTTGGTTGCATTTTGTATTTACAGCCTCACATCTGATTATGGTTTGTTTTGTTTTGTGAAACTGATGTTAGGAAATGTTGGATGATTTTTTGGGTGTTAAACACTTATGCTGTATATGTTGGCTGTCAAACTATTAACATTATGTATATATTGGGCTGTTAGTATCACTTATGTTGCCTTTTTATCATTGTTGTACTGTGGATTCTTACAGCAACTGAAACAAATTCAAATGTCATTGAACATAAACAAATGAAACAAAATGGTTTTTCCACCAATTTTATTAACACATAAAAGATACATCTTACAATAATTTCAACTCCCTCTTTTAAACAACACAATTATGACTAACACAACATACATGAAAACCCCAAATTTAACTACTTCCCTAATGTAGCTAATGAGCTCTGTTATTTTCTCCTTCAAATCTGCAATTTCGATTTCATCACCCCTCAAAGCTTCAAGACCTTGCACATCCCCTTCATCCATCCACTTGAAAAACCCACAATCGTTGCACTTAAAGAACGCTTTCCTAGGGTTGCGAATTGTTGTTGAAATCTTCAACTTCGCCATTTTTGGAGGGTTGCAGAAACATCGTGGGCTCAAGAATTACAAGGAACATGATGAATTAGAGGGGAACGAGCAGCGAGAACTAGACATGGCTTCTTCCTTCAATTGAATCTGCAACTACTTACAATGGAGCCCTAGAAATATTTAGGGATTTATACGGGGAGGAAGAAGAAAGGAGGGAAGCACTGTTTTGGAGGGAAGTATTCCCCCAAACGTAATAACAGCCTAAAACTAACCACTCCCATAAACTTAACGGAAGACATTAACGTCAACTTAACGGCAGTGTCACAACGTAGAAACGTTAGGTACTTTAGGGTCACAGCGTAGAAAATCAAATGTCATGTCACAACGTAGAAAAAGCGAAAAAAACGGGGTCATAATGTAGAAAAACCCAAAAATTAATTTGCTTGCCAAAAATTTGCTCAATTTAGGTTTTGTGGGTCATCTCTTAAGGATTTATTTTGTGTCAAGACTAAAAAAATTGCCGAAATTATCTCATTTTGCGTAAAAAAAGATATTTCGATTTGCATGTTTCGATTTGAATGCGGGAAATTTATCAATTAAATTTTTTTTGAGGTTCTAAAATACAATTGCCTTTAATTTTTTTTTTCTTCTAAAGAGAAACAGGACATCAAAAAAAAATCGAAGATGTCCCTTAAAATCCTCCAGTGAAGCCTGAAGTAAGTAGTAAAGTCCCAATTTCGATGATTCGATCTACTTCCATGTTCAACCTTTCTGAGCCCTAACCAACTGTTTACTGCACTAATCAATGCACGATTTCTTCTACTTTTCCCTCTTTCTCATCTCCAATCTCCAATTTTTTTCACAAATTTGCAATTGAGATTGCAGATCTTCCCCATTTCCCTCTTTCTTCTGTTCTTCATTAAGATCAAAAGAGGGATTAAACAGAAAAAACCCTCAAATTAAATCATAGAAATGAAGCCACTAAATCAAGCAATCATGCTCTTTAAAAAGCCAATTTGCAGCATTTTCATCCTTTCTTTCTCTCTCGTCCTTGCTTTGGTCTTCTTATCGCCTTCTTCTCTCTTCTCTGAGCTCTCAGTTCCTTCTTCTTCATCCGGGTAAGCCATCAATTTTCATGTCTTTTTTTAATACAGTATTTTATCTATCATTAATATTCTGGATTTTGTTGATATTTGATGTTTTCTATGATTTTCTCAATTTGTTTAAAAACCCAATTCGTTGAACAAGAAAATAAGTTCTGGGTTTTCTTAATTGTTCTTGATTGCTGAAAATGTTGATGAATTTGGCAATATAAGTTATGATTCAGTGTAGTTTAGCTTAATGTCGGTTTCATCTGTTTTGGTCTTTGTTAATTGGACTCGGCTAGAAGTGTCCGGATATGTGTTCAAGTGCTAAGGCATGATTTTCATTATTTTGGAATAAACTGAAGTGTCTATGTCACTAGTTGTCTTGTTCACCTCTAAGTGTTAATTATCCGACACGGGTACTGTAATGTGAAGAGTTGGAGTAACATAGATTTTGGTCACATAAAATTAGTACCAATAAGCTAGAATTCTAAATTTCAACAGTTCAGAATTAAGTTTCAGGCTTCTTTTACTTTGCTCCAAAGCTACAAGTTAAAGGATCACTTAAATATGGATTTTGAGGAGGAGAAAGAGATTGTGGTTTGTAGAAAGTGAATTTTAAGAAGTTGGGCAATCCTTAAGTTAACTGTAGAAGATTGATATTCATTGTAGCCTAGCTTAATGTATAGTGACATACTGACATTGTTGCTCATCTGATTTCAAATTTATGATTTTAGTGTGAGAACGGATATATGGAGCCTCAGGCGTATTGTAGAGTGGAGACCTTGCAATTGGTGGCTTGAGGACAAATCAGCTGGTTAGTATTATTCCTCCGTCTCATTTGTTAAGCTTTTAGCAATTGTTTCCACATGGGATATGTTCTATCTTGGTCTAGGTAATGTGAAATGCGGGAGCAGTTGTCGTTTACTCTCCAAGTGAATATGTGAAATGTGTTTGATTTGCAGACATTTGTTATTGACATACTGCAGCTCTACCTGCAAAGACTAATGGGTATATTCGTGTGGATTGTTATGGGGGCCTCAATCAGATGAGAAGAGATGTGAGTATTCCTTCATTTGTTTGTTGAATGTACTCCGCATCTGTATTACTGTTTAGTTAGCAGAAAGAGGGTAATTTTTAGTTGAACTGATCCTGTCGAATGCATTGTTTCAACAGTTCTGTGATGGTGTTGGCATTGCACGTTTGCTGAATGCAACCCTTGTTTTGCCAAAATTTGAAGTTGCTGCCTATTGGAACGAATCTAGGTACATTTTATCTATCATTGATGATCTATATTTTCCTTTTTCCCTGAAGAATTTGCTTTTATAGTTTTATCTATGTATAATGTGGCTGAAATGGTTTACATTCTTCTTTGTGTTTGTTTTAAACTTATCACATGAATATTGGCATGCCCTTTGGGTTTACTTGTAGCCTCTTAGGTGGAACGGTGGACTGTGGTAATTGGTAACTAAGATGGCGGGTATGTTAGTGAATAAAAGATAGTGAGGAAGAGCAAAGAGGATCTTTCATCTCATGTAATTCAGCTCTGATTTATTGTGTTTTTTTGGAGAGAAGAAATACTGTAGAATGCAGCTGCTCATAAATTAGGGTTCTGCGTAATTTGAGATTTGTTGCCTCTAGATATTTTCTCAAAAGTTGTAATCAAGGAATGTTGACAATGGATCACTTCCCTCCACACCACTTCTCCTAAGGACCTAGCTAGTGTTGGAATCTAAACCCTTACCATTTCTGTTGATTTCCAATGCATGCTATGAGTGTGATGCCACATGATAGATAAAGCTATTCCATTGTCTAGTTGGGTATGAGGATGCATTGAAAGCTCTAAGCTCAACAATTGTTGAATGCAGCTAGGAAGAGCATGACAATATTGACAATATTGTTCATGCAAAATTTATAAACTATCAAGCATATTTGGGCTGACAGGTTATATGCATGCCTTAGTGGTTTTGCAGATGTTTTTGATGTTGATCACTTCATTCAGGAGATGGATGGTTTTATTCAAGTAGTCAAAGAACTGCCAGCAGAGCTTACATCAAAGGAGCCATTCCAAGTTGATTGTAGAAAACGCAAGGGCCACTTTGATTACATTGAAACAGTGCTTCCTCCCCTGTTACAACATCGATATATTTCATTTACTCCCCAAATGAGCCAAAGAAGAGATAGGTATTATCATATTGAATTCTTGGCTATTGGATTAGAGTTGTAGCTTTGTTTGAAAGCCTGTGTTACCTTACTAATGTCTGATATGACTAAATTGTATGGTTGTCTGACCTTGTTACAAAAGTTAATTCTTTAAAAGAAAGAGAGAAAGGGAAAGGGAAAGAGAAAGGGAATGCAAGGATAGTAAACAGGTTTAATTGATCAAGGCTCATTTGTTAGTTAAATTGAGGGAAATTGATCTGATTGAAATATAATAGTCTTTTCATCTTGCAGGTATCCTCACTATGCCAAAACTTCTCTCTGCCAAGCTTGTTATAAAGCGTTGCGCCTCACGGAAGCTTTGGAGAAGAAAAGCGACGAACTACTCCAAGCCATACCTAAGCCATTCCTTGCCCTTCATCTGCGTTTTGAACCTGACATGGTTGCTTACAGCCAGTGTCAGTACTCAGGACTCTCCACTGAATCCATGAAAGCCATTGACGCTGCTAGAGGAGAGAGAAAACCATGGACTGGGGAAGCAGCCCATATTTGGAGAAAGCGTGGAAAGTGTCCTTTGACTCCTCGTGAGACGGCCTTTATCCTTCATTCACTTGGTATTCCAAGAAACACAAATATATATTTAGCTGCTGGGGATGGTTTAATGGGAATTGAAGGGTTGACATCTATCTACTCCAATGTATATACAAAATCTGCCCTGCTTCGGGATGAAGATTTCAAGGCCATGCATGGGAACACCAAAGCTGCCCTTGACTACCATGTTTCCATTAATAGCGACTCCTACATTGCCACTTATTTTGGTAACATGGATAAAATGGTTGCTGCTATGCGAGCTTTTAGAGGCATGTATAAAACTCTCTTCTTGAATCGGAAAGCTTTCTCTGAGCTGACTTTTCAAGGGCTGAAAGGGAAGCAATTGAAGAGGGAACTATGGAGGGTGCATAGAGATGAATTTGTCATGGGTAGAGGATCGGCTTTACCAGATTGTTTTTGTGAATTCAAACTGTAATCTAAAATAGGAAGTGCCATAAATTAGTTTTTCGTTTCCTATTTCAGATCCATTGATGTTATACACCTTTTTACCAGTGTGTATCTTACATGTATGATATTTTATAAGGCTTAGAAGCATAGAAGTCATCATTCTTTTGTACTAGATATCGTTATGACATATAACCGCTTCTGTTTATTCACAAGATATGATTGGATTTTCATAAGATCTCGAATAAGACTCCATAGATGAATTTTCTTCCACGACATTGCAGGTTCTTAAAGCTTGGGAAGGTTGTGGATCATTTTCTGGTCTGTCACCATATTGTTCATGATAGAAAGATAGGTTTTATGTCCTCTGATTCATTGTATACATTTGAACTTTGAACCAAAAGAACTACAGAAGTGTTCCACTCAAACATTGAATCAACAACAAATGTCAAACTAATGTCGTTTAATAGGAAGTAGATTATATCAGAAGGATACCCCGTACATAAGTCAAAAATTCACATAGGAGCAATGAAGCACCACAGTGAAAAATTTTCCCTCACAAAATACAGTTACAAAAGACATCATCCATAAGCTCCCTCTTAAGTAAAATAGCACATTAAATCAAACTCAATCACATCATTTTTTAACTTCAAACCCATGTAAATGCTCATATTGATGTTGTGTTGTTCTTCTGTATGTTAGCTGGCAACTTCATATTGTATTCAGGGTCACATCATCATCATCAATTAGCCTAGATATTTAGACAGATTGTTGCTTACAGAACTTGGAAATATGTAGCACTCCGCAGAAGAGATTCGTTCACATACAGAATCACATATCAGAAGAGATGTGCTCACAGAAAAATGTAGCACCTCTGAGGAAAGGCAGCAATAGTAAATAAGACGTTCATGGTTGCTAACAGAATTATGTAGCAATATCTCCAACAACGTGACAGAAACTAGAATGCCCCGGCCCTCTTCCTCATTTTCTGTCAAAACTGAGAAAAGATGGAGGATGATATTATCAGTTACAGTTCAATGACCAAACAAGAGCGGATGGTAGGAAATACCAGCTGCAAACTAAAGAAATTCAGAATTGCATCATGCACTCATGAAGCATCAGGCATAAAAGGCCATTCCTCTTCACTAGATTCTGAGCTTTCATCTTCCCTCCTCCGTCTTCTCCGATGAGACCTATGTCCTCTCATTGTTTTCGACAGTTCTTTTATAGAGGAAGAACTACTTGCCTCCATTTTATCAGCCAGTATCTCTACCTTCTCCATCATACCCCATCCCACAAAGCGGTTCCTCAACTGCTCAATAGTCGAAGAGTAAGGTGGGATGCCTTCATCAATCATCATCTCAAAGTATTTAATCGCGTCATCTAGCTTGCCTTTCTTCTTAAGAAAACCATGGATCATTACAGCATAAGTAGAAACTGAAGGATAAAACCCCTTTCGTGGCATGCTACCCCACACCTCTTCAACCTTATCAAATCTCCCCACTCTAATTAACATTTTAAGCAACATATTCCATGTATGCCGATCTGGCTTACAGTTCTCCTTCTCCATTCTAGAAAGCAATCTGACAGCTCTGTTAACCTCATTACGATCACAATGGAAAGCCATGATTGTATTGTAACTCCATGTGTCCGGACTTACCCCACCTTCTATCATCTCATCCAAAAGTTGGTGCGCATCTTCAACCTTCTCAATCGAACATAACTTCTTAATGATACAATTATAAGTATATAAATTAGGCACCAACTCATATCTCTTCATTCTATCAAGCACCCTAAAAACCGAGTGAATGTTATCTCTTTTGCAATAAGAACGAATAAATATCGAATAAGTACAAGCATCCGGAGCAAGTCCCTTGGATTCCATCGCTCTAAACATAGCATACGCCTCATCCAAATCCCCTCCATTACACAAGGCCTCCAACAAACTATTATAAGCAGGAACATCCACTACACAACCTCTCTCAAGCATTTCATCAAACACCTTGCGTGCTTCCTCAGAATTACCAACATCACCCCAACCCCTGATCAAAATCGTATAACTTTTCACACTTGGATCAAATTTACCCTTAATCCTATCAAAAAACTCCTGCCCATCTTTGACAAATTTCTTCCTACACAACAAATACAACAGATGATCCAAATCATTCAAACTCGGCTCGAGTCCGAATTCATTCATTCGATTAAAAGCTCGAATCGCATCATTTGGTAAATTTGCTCTACAATAAGCACCAAAAATAACCCAGAAAATTTCTGGGCACAATTCAAAATTTTCCCCTGATTTCACCTCAGAAAGCAAATCCCAAATCAGAGGAAATTGCTTACTACTACCCAAAACATCAATAAGAATCCTATAACTATGAACATCAGGTTGAAAACCCGGCAATTTTTTAGCCCAAAGAAAGAATCTGTGAGCAGAAAACCCCAGATTTTTGGTTCTTTTCAATACTTGCTCAACCAAATTTGTAGAGAGTTTTGAAGAAAATGGGGTAAGAGCAGACTCAATGTCGTGCTGAGGCCCCCGGAAGTCGCTGAGAACTCGAGAGATATCGTTAATGTCATCGGGGGACGCAGGTGCCGAGTCCGATGAAATCGGGAGAGAATGGCGGGAAGAAGCGCCATGAATGAAGCGGAAGAAGATGGTGGAAGCTGCTCTGCTTCGAGAGCAAAGGGTTGTAACAGCCATTTTTAGTGGGAAGTATTTTTTTGAAAGTTAGTTAGGTTGCATTTTTATTTGGTGATTTTTAGATTTCAATTTATGGGGAAAGAACTTTTGTTGGAAAATTGTTTATAGTGTGTATCTATGTACATTGGTATATGATTTTTGGAAAACATTCTAGTTCTTTCTCCATCAAGATAAGGCCTTCGTAAAGAGGGTAGTAAATGATCTCAGCCACATCGAGTTTTAGTCTGATTGAACTAAGCTTGATAAGAATTATTAGTGTTCAAATTATTGATCTTAAGTTTGAACAAGCTTTTGAAAATCCTGTTGGAGCTTGACTTGTTAAGAATTTGGCTTATTTGAGTTTTGCTCACAAATGTACTCGTTTGCATTTCGAGTTTAAGTTCGAGATTGATTGAATAAATTTATCATTAAAAAGTGATTTCTTTTAAGTTTTAATGCATGCATTTAAATTTATATAAGATGTATTCATTCTTTCTATAAAAAAAAGGTTATGACGGAGGTTTCAAGCCTACATATGATGGAATAATTAGTAATTTTAACAAATATGTATGTATGAGTAAAAGATACGAAATATATAAATATGCTAATAAAGTACTTTTAATATTAATATAAAATTATTCGAGCTTGAACGAGTTTTGACTAAGTTTTAATTGGACGTGAACAAAATTATAAATGAACATGCATGAACGTAATCGAGTTAAACACGTTGTTAGAGCTTTGTTCATTTATTGTTCACAAGTAGTTCATGAATGTATCAACTTATTTATACCCGTATATGTAAGAAAAAAATTATACATTTGTGAGTGTCTTTTTGTAGAAATTTATCTAGACGTGGGTAAATATTATAATATTAGGTTAGGTCCCGTGCCATGCACGGTAATTTTCAATAACTATTCTTTAAATAACATTATATTTAATTATAAAAAACTTTATCGTTATTAATTTATAAAATGAATTTATTATGAAAGTCTATTATTAGCAAAATAGATACTTTAAAATGCGTATATATATATATATATATATATATATATATATATATATATATATATATATATATATATATATATATATATATATCGTTTTTGTTTTTGTTAATCAAATGAAAATCTTAACAATATGTATTTAACTTATAAATAGATTTCTTTTTTGCAAACTATTATTCATTCTATCTTATGTATGTTGCATTTTTTTTTTCTCAATAATCAACGACTTAAAATATTTTTTCATATCTTTCTTGGCAAGGTTTTCATACATGATTAAATACAAAAGGCTATATTTTTTTAAAAAAAATCCTTGATTTTATTAATGGTTAAGTAGTACGTAGTTCTACATATGTCATAAATTAGATTAAAAAGTTTATGATATCTATATATATTTGGAAGGATACATTAAATCTTTTCTAATTTTTTTCTTTTTTTTTGAAGAAAAATCTTTTGCAATATTTTATTTATGTATAATATTAATTTCCTTTATATATATATATATATATATATATATATATATATATACAAAAAAAACTAAAGGACACACCGGAAAATGACACGTGTCATTGCTGGTGTGTCTTTTAGTATATATAGTTATTGATTAGCACGATGCCTAATACAATTATACAAGGTCTACGATTCTCAATCGACCTAATATTCCTATTAGGATTTTTTTTTTTGAAACTACCCTATTAGAAATGTAAAAAGATATATTACTGTGATATATTTTCCATATGAACCTATTATTATGATATATTTTCCACATAAACATATATTATTATGATATATTTTTGATAAATTAAGATCTCAATGACAATTAGAATATTATCTTATTGGGAAGTTTAAGGTGATAGGAATTAGCGCGGAAGTCTTGATTCTCGTCTATAAATAAACCCATTAATTCTCAAAAACTCACAAAACAAATTCTCTGAATTTCTTCTTCAATAATTCCTCAAAACCAAGAATTTCTTCAGCTAAGAATCATGATAATCCCAAAATACGAAGTAGCAGGTCCATCTGAATACTTGGCAATAACAGGATGGAAAATAGACGAAATAAAACTATCAAAGAAAGCATTGATATTACCAGGGCAACGTTACGTTCGAGTGAACGTATCACCCGTAAATTACACCTTGAATGTCCAAGCAATGAGCGCGGAGAAACTCCCTTTTGTGCTCCCTGCAGTGTTCACAATCGGCCCTCGAGTCGATGAGCCTGCGAGCCTAATTCTATATGCTAAGCTGATGGCACCCCACGACATGTCCTCTAACCATGTGCATGAACTTGTACAAGGGATCATTGAAGGCGAAACTCGGGTTCTTGCGGCTACTATGACTATGGAGGATATTTTTAAGGGTACTAAGGAGTTTAAGAAAGAAGTGTTTGAGAAAGTTCAGTTGGAGTTAAATCAATTTGGACTGTTTATTTATAATGCTAATATTAAACAACTTGTTGATGTTCCTGGTCATGAGTATTTTTCTTATTTGGGTCAGAAGACTCAGATGGAGGCTGCTAATCAAGCTAAGGTACTTCTTGATTATACTTGTTGATTTTTGTTTTTTTTTTTTTGTTTTTTTTTTTATGAATTAGTTATTTCATTATATGGGTTTAGATTGATTAATTAGTATGTTGAAGGTTTTAATTTTAAATTATACTGAAATTTGGGGTGGTTTTCAATTAGCTATTTGATTAATTTTGTGCAAAAGCGTTGTTAAATTTTGACAATACATGGTGTATATGTCTAGGAATCTTTGTAGTATTCTTGTATGAACTTGAAAATAAAATTTGGAAAATTGTTTATAATTCATATTTGAGGGATTAATTAGTAATCTTATTTTTCTTGATCTAATTATAATGCATGTATATGAAAGACATTTTTTTTTTTTTTACAGATAATCAAAGAGATGAATTTTTTTAGTGTAAATGTGACAACTTGAAGTCTAAGATTTTTCAAAACATTAAGGCAGGGAAATTTCTAATTGATGATATGTTTTGGAGAATATATTGGTTAATTTTTGCTTGCAAGTTGCAACAATTATGTTAGAGAAGAGATTCATCAACTTAGAGATAAGTTCACTGATATATTATTAAAAAAAATTAAGATTGGACTGAGTTTCTTTGATGTGTTTGTATCTTTAAGGTGGATGTAGCAGAGGCACAGATGAAGGGAGAGACAGGAGCTATGCTAAGGCGAGGACAAACTCAACAAAACGCAGGGAAAATCGATGCAGAAACCAAGATCATATCCACACAAAGGGAAGGAGAAGGCAAGAAGGAAGAGGTCAAAATAAAGAGAGGTTATGATTTTTGAGAATCAAAAAGAGGCTGATGTTGCAAAAGCCAATGCTGAACTGGCAGCACAAAAGGCCGGGTGGTCCAAGGCGGCTCAGCTAGCAGAGGTCGAGGCTAAGCAGGCTGTTTCAATCCGACAGGCCGAGCTGCAAGTCGAGGTGGAGAAGAAGAATGCTCTCACCAGGACTGAAAACCTCAGGGCTGACCTCCTCAGTAAGGCCACTGTTGAATATGACATCAAGGTACTAATTTCTAACAAAACTCTGCTTAATTTGTTCAATTTGCTGGTCTATGAGATTATACTTCACATGACAGCAGACACATCACTCTGTTTAATCTTCTAATGATGTTTACGGCGAAAATTTTTGGTTAACAGGTCCAAGAAGCAAACCAAAACCTATACAACAATCAAAGAGAAGCGGATGCCATTCTCTACAAGAAGCAAAAGCAAGCTGAGGCAGAGAAGGCATCAGCAGACGCTGCCTTCTACACTCGTCAGCAAGCAGCTGATGCAGATCTCTACAGCAAGAAAAAAGAAGCAGAGGGAGTTGTGGCCCTTGCTAATGCCCAAGGATATCACCTTAGTACCCTACTTAAGGCCCTTAACGGAAACTATGCTGCATTGAGGGATTACATGATGATCAATGCTGGAGTGTTCCAAGAGATGGCAAGGATCAATGCTGATGCTGTACAAGGTTTGCAGCCGAAGATTAGCATATGGTCATCTGGGTCTGGTGGGGCTACCTTGGAGGGTGGAAGTGGGTCTGGTGGATCCATGAAAAGTGTGGCCGAGGTCTATAGCATGCTTCCCCCACTTGTGAAGACGGTCCATGAACAAACTGGGATGCTGCCACCTGCTTGGCTTGGCACTTTGACTGATACCAATGGCAATGATTAAGTTACAGACCTTGCAGTATCTAACTGAAGTTTTGATAAATTCAAACTTGATTGATATAGGAACTGTTTTATATCTAGTTTACACCACTAAGTAGATATGGAAACTGTTTTATTTCTAGTTTTCACCACTAAATAGATTTTATAATCGTATATTATTTATAATAATTTTCAAATTTGCGAACTTTTAGGTTTCTTGCATTTTCAAATTGCTTATTGAATACATAATATGATTTTATTAAATACTCTTGCCAGTGCACATCTTTAACCATCAATATTTCTTTTTATTTTTATTTTTTTGACGGAGACTGCAGCAGCTAGCAGTAGTACTATAAATCAAAAAAGGCCACATTGTCTGCACTAACAACAGAAGCAGCAGCCGGAGGAGTTTCCTGCATCCAAACCCTCACTTCTTCAAGAGAGGATTTGACTAATTTTTGCACAACCATAATTCCCTTATTTTTTAATATATTATGGCAAAAAATGATTCAGAAGTATGAATAATGGTAGGTAATAATGGTAAAAGTTGAATGTAAAATTTACTTCAATTTAAACTAATCATCATCTAACTCTCAAATGGTGGAGAGAATTGAGGTCCATTGTAGGAAGTTTAACAGACTTGAGCATTCCCAAAAATCTGTTCAAACTAAGTATACACTTCTGTCAAACATCTGACTTGATAGGCTAATTTACAATTGTCCATCCTAGGAACAGAATTTGCATATTCAAGAAAAGGAGAGGAAAAAGAACTGAGTGAACAGCTCAAGGCTTCAAATGTGTTTGATTAATACGTAACGAGGAGTGTCGTTCAGAACCCTTGGAGAAGGGCAGCCAGCTACTTCAGGATGTAGGTATGCCGTTTCTTACCCTTCACCTGTGATTTGAGCCTAACAGAGTTGTTTTCAGCTACTGTAAGCAATACACCTCTCTTCCTTGAATCAGTGAAAGCAATGAGTTTGCACAAGACACATGAAAACCACAAGTAGGTGAAGTAACCATTATTTGGTGCCTGAAAAACAGGGACAATGTTCAAACAAAATCTTGCGTCTTGTTATACTGCAACATACTCAGATAGCTGTGGGCAAGTCACGCTTGAACAGGCAATGTACTTCAGTAGCAATTTTTCATGCACATGTTAACTGTATGGTTGTATTCATACCAAAAGGAAAAAGTTAACACTTCACAGGAATATTATGTGACTGAAACAATGCATTATTGTCTCAGCACTGATTCACCTCGTACAGACCATGCAGTTTGTGTCAAAAAAAAAAAAAAATAAAAAAAAAAAAAAAGACCATGCAGTTTACCGGATTGCTAAGGCAGTTTTCTGAAGTGAAACCAAGGATGCCAATATGGAATTAACCTAAACAATGACAGAAAATTGTAGTCAGCTTCTACTAATAAATTGATATGGTTATCACACTAATACATCCTTCTCTTTTACACACAATACTCCCAAACTTAAAAAAAATGAAGTGAAAACTTGCAAGTGAAATTACAAAAAGCAACCTGACCCCCAACCCAAAGAATAGTAATGTATGTGAAAAGAAGACAATTGATCAAAGATTACAACATGGCAATTGCACCAAGGCATATTTTAGTTTGTCATTCCAACCAGAATCAAGAGTTTTACCATGTCTTGTACGGTAAAAGTATGTTACACCAACTCATCATGATGTGGTGTGAGTTACATAGTTGATCAGCACCTAAAAAAAGGGATGAGGGAGAGTGTAGTTAGCAGCCTACTTGGTCATGTTTTATAAGTGAAATTTTGGTTAGAAAAATGCTAGAATATACAAACCAATAAAGTAACATTAATTTCAGATGTATCATTCATATGCTTCAAAGTAAATACAATCCAGGTTCGTGCTTCTATCAAACAGTAAGCAAGCAAATCATAAAGAAAACCTGCCAGAAGTTCATCTATTATCTCTCATTGAAAGGTCAAAGATTATACTTTCATAGTAACTTTTTAGTGTAGGATTCTATACAAAGTGAGCTTGTTATTCCAGCTCCGACAGGGAATAACATACTTGAAACTCTTGGTTAGAAAGAAAGAAAATCATTACTACATTAGATACGAATCTACTCAGTTTTGTGAAAACATTCTTGGACCTCAATTCCAAGATATTATTGTCTCTCTAATGGCCCCTTCAACTCTTCAATTTTGTTTTACATATGAAGAACCAAATTGAAAGCACTCACCAGAATTATCATCTAAAGGCTATGATATGATGCCAGTTGCATACAATATGCAGAGAACAAGAAAATTTTGCTAGTTAAGACTTCAAAAGTAGTCATGATCAATCATCTCTAAAATCAGGTGCTCCATGACCCCAGAAAATCTCAGCCCCCAAAACCAGTGTTAAATTCTTTTCAAGATACCACCAGACAGTCCAGTAAACATCCATCATAGCTCTAAAGTTTTCCTCTAATCATCTTCTTCAACATATATATTTTTTTTTAACAGATAGTGTGGCGTTGGGGGTGGGAAACAACAAGGAAACACTTGACTAGGGCCCAGGAGGAAACACATAAAAACACCGAACAAATTAATTTGATAACTAAAAAATCCATGCATCTATAAAAAAAATATTATATATAAAAACAAAAAAAAAGGCACATGGTTGAAGAAAAGTTGGCAACAGACAAAGTTGAATAAGCAATAGGATTTCAAAACATACCAAAAGCCACAACAGTCAGAAGAGGACAGATCACGGTGCTCTTGGGACCAAATATATACACGATTCCTCCAATATGTCTCTCCTTTAAGTCTTCAACCATTAATAAACCACCAATTTATCAGGTTCATGAAGACTTTATCAATATGAAAACCCACTGATGAAATTTTAAGCACTACCAATCAACTGAACCCAAGAGTATAGTCATTTCTTGGTCTGTACAGAGTTAAAGTTCCCTCCCCATTATCATACAGACGCTGTATGGTGTTCAGCTTCATGGCTGGTAAACTTGCAATCGTCAACCAACTGATGCAAAACTTCCCATTATCTCGCAGAAGCTGTACGATGTTCTGCTTCATGGCCGTTAAACTTGCAATTTTCAAGTAACAGATGCAAAATGAATGAAACATCAGATGATGTTCCTTTGGGGAGATACATATCCAACAACTTTGAGTATCTTAAAGCAATATAGATCTCCTGCTCATTCAAACTAAACGTGATCAAATTTCTCCATTCCCTTGATCTTCCTTCCAAGCAAAGACCATGGAGCAAGGCAACAAAAGTAAATGATTCGTCAAGGATATTCCTATTCATAATTCTTTGTATCAGCTGCAAAGCAGTTGTGAGCATTCTGTGCTGACAAAGATAGATGAGAATGCAATTATATACCGACTTTCTGGGAGACAAATTATCAGAAAGCATTCTTTTGAAGAGGTTCAGAAAGATTGAATTTTCATGCTTTTCAGTATCATATTCCTTCTCAGCTATTGCAGCAGGCACAATATTGGTAAATCCATTAACTAGATAGTTAAATGTAACATTGTTTGGGGTGCATTTACTCATCAGCATTCCTTCAAATGTGGATGCTGCTTTTACAAGGTTGCCCTCTTTGCAAAATCCACCAATAAGTATGCTATATGTAATTACATTAGGCATCAAACCATGACATAGCATCTCCTTGAAAATTTTCTCAGCTCCAAATGTATCTCCTTGGCGACAATACCCATTAATAAGAGACGTATAAGTGACGACATTTGGTTTAAGTTTCTTTTCTACCATCTTTCTAAACATCCTTAATGCATTACTAAGGTCATGTTGCTTGACATAACCATCTATTAATGTTGAATAGGTGAATTCATCAGGAGAGAGGTGTCTCTGAGTCATTTTCTGGAAACAGAGCATTGCATCATTCATCCTCCCCAGTCTGCTGTATGACTTAATCATGGCATTGTATCCCACAACACCAGGATCTAAATCTTTTTCAACAGCAAGTTCAAAAATCTTCTTCGCTTCATCTAGATTACCATTTCTGGAAAATCCGTCAACCAATGTAGTGTAAACAAATGCATCAGGATGTACTTTATGGTCAAGCATCTCACAAAGCAACTGTTTTGCAGCTGAAAGCATCCCTTTTCTGAATAATCCACTCATAAGAACATTGTAAATTCCAGCATCAGGGATAACTCCCCTCTCAATCATTTGCTTTCGAATGTTTGATGCAGCTTCAATCTCACCACGAACAACAAGTCCATGCACAAGTGCTCCATAAGTAACCATATCAGGTTTATGACCTCTCTCTGTCATTTCAATGAGCAAACTGGAAGCCCTATCAGGGTCACCTTGTTTGCAATAGAAATGAACGAAAGGAGTATAACTATATTGATCAGGTGTCAAACCCCTTTTTCTGGCCTGCTCTAGAAATGCATTAGCTTCCTTCACATTCCCGTTGTTACATAAACCAGAAATTAGAATGTTATATGTCATAATATCTGGCTTACAGTAACTCTCCTTCATTCTTCTAACCATGTCGTAAGGTTCCACTGAACAACCATGTTTATACCGGAAATCAATTATATTATTATGAATCTGAACATTGACTGTCAAACCCCTCATCTTCATCTCCTCCAATAGTTTATCAACCTCTTCAAACTTCCCTTCTCTGCAAAGTCCATTTATCATAGCTCCATATGTCTCTACAGTAGGTAAAAACCCTTTCAACTTCATCTCTAGCAAAAGACAATTCGCCCTCGCAATCTCACCTCTCTTGCAGTACCCATCAATAAGAGTATTATAAAACACAACATTCGGCACACAATCCTTTCCCCACCTATCCTCAATCAATTTCCTTCCCTCATCAACTTTCCCTCGCTCGCACAAACCCCTCACCATGATACTCGTACTATAGTTATCGAAACAACACCTCCCACCACCACCACCGCCATCTCTCTTAAGCATTTCATCATACACCACTAGTGCAACCTCCATACGACGACACTTCACCAAACCATTAAGCAATGAATTGCAAGCATAAACACTAGGCATACAATCAAACTTATCATTCACTAATCTATACAATTCCCTAGCTTTATCAACTAACCCAGAATCAGAATAAGCTCGAATTAACACATCAAAAGCATCAATAGTAGGCAAAATACCATCATTTTTCATGCAAATTAACACATTTTCAACCTCATCAAATACCCTATTACTTCCTAAGAGCTTAAGAAGGGAAGAAAACGCATACCCATCAAGAGGAGAGCAATATTTTCGATTAGTAAACCATTCATAAAACTTCAACCCCAAGCCAACATCACCAATTCTATCAAAAACAAGATGGGCAATTTCTGAAGCTTCAATTGATTCTTCAGCGAGCTGGGGTTCGAGAAATTTGTCCCAATTTTGGTGGGTTCTGAGTAAATTGCATGCTTCATTGGCCAATTTCTTGATATGGGGTTCATAATGGGGTATTTTTGCTGGTTTTGAGTTGGGGTTTTGGCGAGGTTTGATGAGAGAAAGCAGTCTTTTGGACATGAGAGAGAGATTAAAAGGAGAAGTGTGTTAGAGTTGAAGAAGTGAATCTTGAGTGTTGGAAACATTGACGTTTGAATTTGTATTTATGCGCAGTTTTTCTGGGTTCAGTGATGAAAATGAAAGTATGGGAGTTTGAAGTTGTTGAGGGAAAAATAAACCAGGGAAGAGGAATGGGAAAGTGGACTTGACCCGAAACCTATCCATTGGGCCAAAAGAAAATTGTGTGTTAGTCGGGGTCCGATAGAATTGTCAAATTGGGTGCATCGTGCACGGGTTGGTTTTGAGTCAAGTCATTTTAGTCTCTGTTAATGTGGGGCTAGCGGTTTGAGGGTTGCAAATGAGCTGACATGTTCATAAGCCACTTGTGAACAAGCTCGATTATCGGCTTGCTTTGTCAATGAGTCATGTTCAAACACCAATACATCATTATGATTTCAATCGTTAATATCTCTAATTACCAATATATTAAGATTATAAACATTTGATATTAAAATAGTATAAATCGAGACGAATTTAACAAGATCTCACATGACTATATTTTTGTTTAAGTATAAATCATTAAAGCTAGTCAAAGTAAAACACATGAATAGTGTAAAAGTCAAACTGTTACAACTATAGTCACTCAAGGTCATTTTAAAAATATTTAAACTTTTTTCTATGGCACTAATTGTGAATAAAAAGAAACGAAGAGAGTATGGAAATTGATACCATAAGAGTACTATTATAGATGTTTGATTATGAAATACTACCTTTATTGATTGTTATATGCAACTTTAGAATTTTTAATATCTCACAAATAATACCCTAATGTTGTAGATAACAATTAACAGAGGTAGTACTACAATTCAAAATACTTGACACGGTTTGACTTTTTTAGCTCATCACTAACTAAATTTGACTATTTAAGTAAAGTACACTTTTTAAAAAAAAAAAAAAAATAAATTGTGTGTATGAGAATATATTAGAAATTTATGACACGTTCTCTAGCGCCATTGTGATCACAAACATATAACTAAAAAGATTTAAATGGTATAGAGGCGAATCTAAGATACTAAGTTTGGAGGGGCACTTAGTGAATAATTATGCAGACATAGTCTTTTATATAATCAATATAATTGAATTTTAAACCAAAATAAAGGAAACAAAAATATTTTTGGTGGGACCGGTGCCACCCAGGCACCCATCTAGGTCCGCCTTATGCATCGACCAGTATGAAAAACAGAAATATAGCAAGTAAAAAAATGAAGGAAGTCCAAAGTATTATAGAGTAGGATAGATAAAACAGGTCAGAATACAGGCAGAAATGAAACCAAAAAAAGAAGGAAGTCAGAAATGTAGCCAATAATAGAATTAGAGATTAGACATACATACCTCCATAAAACAGGTCAGGATACAGCCAAACAAAGATAAATGCTTAACACAAGACAAGGGTCTGATGAAAGAAACCAGAATATCTTCATGTATTAAGACATCATTAATGGTTTGATCTGCTTTCACAAGACAAGGAATTAATGAGATAGAGTAATTGTATGCTATGTTATCCAACTCAGATACGCCAAATTAGGAGCATAGCTGCAGTTTTTTTGATAAGCAAACACAATTTCCGAAGGGAAGTTGAACAGATAGAAGTGTGATGGACATGGTTCAAGTTGTAAATGTACAGAGTACTTTTGATCATCAATATCTTTAATTTATAAAGAATGTACTCGGTACTCGTACATGGTTTTGAATGTTTCGAGGAACTCCAATCCATACATCTAAAAGGAAAAAATGAGAGGATGTTGTGAACATATTTCCTTTCCCCAAACTTCCATGATTATAGAATTATTATAAAATTATTTTGATTGACCACAAATTAGGGACAGAGGAAATGGCATAAGCAAAACAATAAATATGAGCACACTTTTCGAATCAAAAGGCAAATTGTTGTTCGACAAATCTCAATTAAGCAAAACATGGACAGATAATAATGCATATATAAAACAGCCCACAAATGATTAATTAGAGGATATTTATAGTGTCAAACGTAAATACCTGAATTTCTATATGTTTGAATTAGTACTGTAAAAATTGATTGATTCCCTCCTTCAATTAATATCATAAATTAAAGTCAAACAAAAAAAAATGATTGAGATAATTATAATTGATTTTATAATCAGTGATCAGATACAATTAGGGTTATATAAAAATTACTTGACAGAAAAGAATCAATTAATTAATCATAATAAAATAGGATTATTTAAGTTAATCAAATTTATCTCTATCATTATTAACCCGTAATTTCATAAGCAAACTGAACTAGTATCAAAATCCGAAATACAAGAATATACAGAGTTTAATTGACGACCTAAAGGTGGTCAGGTAGTTCGGGTCGCCGGCAGTGAAAGGGGAGGGGATAAGGGTGGAGATGGTGGTGTGGACGGTTGGTGGTTATTAATTTTTTCAAGTGTAAAACCATAGTTAATTTTAATTGACTATTTAATAATATAAGGTTATTAGTGGGATAAAATTCTAAAACAAGGTCATTTTGTATAGATAAAATTCTAAAACAAGATCATTTTGTATAATTCAATTTCAAGAGGATTACCATTTATGTGTAGCAAAACTTAGGGGTCACCATTAAGAATTTCCCTATCAATTTTCGCTCTCTCACATTATACCTAGTGGTCCCCAATCATATTTCTCTCTTATTTTTTTCAAATTTTTTATTCCTAACCATACCCGTTTATATATTACTTTACTCTTTTGCCTTAAACTTCGCACACAAGGGAGGGAGTAGCTAAACTTGTGTCAATTTATATCATCATTGTATCATGTCTACAACATCAATACATTTTGGCCAAAATCTCCATGTAAACTTTTGAATTTTAGTTTCCGAATAACTGATACATGAGGCATTAAGGACTAAATAAATGTTGCTAAGTCACAAAACACGTCGTTCTTGGCACCAGCTAGTCCTTTGAAGTAATGACAAGTAAACCCAGGGCACCTATCAATATATACTGCAACAAGAAACAAAAAATGGTTGTTACTCTAAAAGTCTGAAAATGAAGATAAACTGTTAAATAATTAATTGAATTATACGCAAATTAAGATATCTTGTGAAAAGAGAAACTAAATAACGTGTACACGAGTATTGAATTAATCCCATGAACATGCCAGTAAGAATTAGCCCCGTTTGCTTTTTCATGCCTTCTTAAACTACTAAAAGTAAGGTACAAGGGGGCAATTGGTCACATGAGAAAAGGGCCGAGAATAATAAAAGCAAATACAAGAGGAAAACGAAGAAGAAATTTCGTTACAAATTGTTAAAAGTGTTTAATTTAAGTTGGAAATGAAATCTACATCTGTATTAAAAGTGCGTGATAACTCAATTAAACAAAACAATTTGAACCTCCCATTCCCCCCACCCATCCACTATTTGTAAATCAATGATTTCAACTTCACTCTTACCACTCATCATCTATAACAACGGTCCAGCACCACTCCTAAGAGTCCTAACCCAACGTACAACAATTGAGATTTAAGAAATAACAAGGGTTAAAAAAGACAACTTAACCGACATTACACAACAATGAAACTCTTAAGTTAAAATTTGGTAGAAACTTTTACATGAATTCAGGATTTCTTACCTTGATCACTGGCTTTTCAGTCATGATGATTGTAACCCAGCCAACATATGGTAGGAATCTAAAGTATGGATATTGGGGGGAAAAAAAAACAAATATAAACCGTTAGAAGCAGAAACACATATTACTGTAACATCAAAAATATAGCAAGACATCTACGTGATGAGAAAGCCCAAAAGTGCAATTGGTTACATTCTATAGTAATGCTTGACAATACTGGTATGGCCAAAAGACTGATCATTTACGGCAAGTTCACAAGCAAAAAGGTAGCAAAGGCTTACCCTACAGCTCTGCCCATTATATGGTGTCGTTGCAGCCACTGTTGACCATGAGCATACAAAAGCCTGTCATCGCCATAATTGTTGTCACCTGAAAATGGCATCGAAAGATGAAGTCAGAGGGAGACCGGAAGAAGAACACAGCAAGTCATGGCATGAGAAAAAGAGTGCCAATAGCCATAGAGTGACAAACCCAGCCAATCAAGGCCTACATTACCAAAATGGGTAATGCTACCACCCAACAACTGAAACAGAAAGTTTAAATTAAGATATGATAGTACCTTTTGTAAGGACGTCAACTTCGCCAGTATCTTTTCGCTCGTGAACCTGTCATAGATTGATAACAGTAAATAACCATATGTTGAAACATAAAAGTTAAAGAATTCTACTCATTGAATTGCATCCGATATTATCAAAGGATTAATGCAGTTCTTCAGATCTATCACCAGAAGATTAAGAACATGTGGCTGATAATTCTATCACTTTATCTTGGAGATAAACTTCATCAATTTTATGCATAAATGCAGTATTTTGTTTTCATACCAACCCCAAAACACAAAGAGGATGATTTCCAAGTAACATTAACTAAGCTTTACAAAGCTGCATTTGGTGCATGTAATCAGAATAATCTATTTCAACTCTAAAATGTAAAGTAAACACAAGACTCAAATTTTGATTCATTCATTTCAATCCTAAAATGCTCACACGGCCAACTGAATTCAGAACAACCAAATCATAGACTTTGCAAGCTGGAATTTTTAACTACTTATCTATAACCTTCTAAAAGAGATAGTAATTAGTATGTGCGACATACCTTGATAACTCGATGGACAATTGGAATTTCACGGCCCTGCAAAGAAGTAGCAAATAACTTTATATTGGTTGATAAGCAAGGCAAACGGCAGAAGCCTGGTAACAACCAATTATGCACAGATCTTTACAAACCAAAGATAAACAAAAGGCTGTAATAAAATGTCTCCAATAACAAGCAGTAAGACAATTATGTTATAGCAATCAGCCATACAAAGAAAATCTTGCGCTCCTAATCAGTCATACAAACATATTGTAGAGTAATTAAAGCCATATAATTACCAAGAAAAGAAAAAAAAGAAAAAAAAAAAAAGCGTTGTTTAAAATTTAACCAATCTGGGTGCAGATCTCATTCAAAACAAAGCTATAAATACAGATTTAATCCTAATTAGTTAGCAAGTTCTAATTTTTATTAACTCATATAAAACTATAACATTTAAAGCCAAAAAAAGCAAAATAGTACTTACATCAACGTTAAACACAACTATTTCCCCAGCACGAATAGGTTCCTTGCTCATATGTAAAAACAATATATCTCCCTGTCACAACAGAATAACATCAAGTTAGGCATTTATCTGAAGAAAAGCAATTTATCAGTCATTTAATTGGAGTAAAA